GGGGCCCTATCCTGCTTATGCAGGAGGTGGGGGCTACATAATCTCCGGACCCCTAGCCTCGTTGCTCCTCCTCATTTCTCAGTTCGTGGCCTTCTACCCCATCGACGACGTTTACACGGGGCTGTGCTTCCAAGCCCTGGGCATTCCTCCTCAGCCCCACGCCGGCTTCATGACCTTCGATATCGCCGAGAAGGACCGGGAAGACCCTTGCGTGCACAGCCAGCTGCTCTTGGTCCATCGGCGCAGCCCCCAGCAGACCCTCCACCTCTGGAAGCAAATCAACGATCCAAATCTCCGATGCGGACAGGAGGCATCGAAGCCCCAACCGCAGAAGCCGCCGGGATTCTGATGGAACTGAGGAACGGATGACGTGGGGTTTTTTCCGTCCTCTGGCCTGCAGTGGGGAGAGGCTCAGGCCCAAAATCTCATCAGAGTATTTCAAAGGGGACACCCTCCCCCACAACTTTTAGCGTGCTTTTGAAGGGCAGGAGCTGGGAATGTTCACCCCCTTGGGGCCTGGTCAACGTGGCTGCCATCGGCCTCTTCTTAAAATCCCTGTTTGTCTTTCTGGAGATACCCTGGTAGAAGGCAGAGCCATACCAAGAGTTCAGGAAACGCTGTTTACAGATCTAAGAACCATCCTTATTTTTCTACCAGGCTGGTTGGAAAAGGGACACAGCCTCTACCTGGCCTTACCTGAGAATGCCAGGGCTTCAAGTTTGCTTCCCTCACCTGGTGCCCTCCCAATTGGCCAGCAAAAGCTGGATTTCTAAGAGGAACCTTCCTCCACATCTGGAGGCTACTCAGAGAGCCAACCTGACCTGCCTGGATTGCAGAAGGTGAAGTATTGTCCACAAGTGTTTTATTTTGTTTTATTTTTTTTCCTTTGGGGCCCGAATGCTTGGGAGCCAATGCCTCCCTCCCACAGTTGGATAAACCAAGAAACCGAGGCACGAAGCCAAGCCTTAATAACCACGGAGCGCTTCAACGTGGCAGAAGAAAAGTGGAAATAAGGTTATCATCGGAAGTGACGATAGCCGTGGTGGCACAGTGGCGAGAATGTAGCATTGCAGGCTAACTCTGCTGATTGCCAGAAGTTTGATCCTGACCGGCTCAAGATTGACTCAGCCTTCTGTCCTTCTGAGGTGGATAAAATGAGGACCCAGATTGTCAGGGGGCGAAATGCTACCGGGGATGTAATTTGGACCCTAGGATAGTTTTGGTGCCCGATAGGATCTCCTTCTCCGTTCCACCGATCCTTATGCCTTTGGACTCCTTGACCATTTCTGTATCCTCATCTCTAGCAAAATTCATGCACTTTAAAATGTCCAGACCCGTATTATCCTTCACCTGTCAAGAGGTAATGGTCAGGTTTTGCAAGTCTGAGACATGAATCCGTAAATTGGTCAGAAAACTTCAACACTTCTCGAAATGCACTTGCTGTGTCGGGCCCATCCAGGTGAGAATATCTTCTACTCCAAGCCCCTGAAAGGATTTGAGATAGACAAATATGTATATATATATATCTCCTTTCCAGAAGAATTACAGGATTGAGGACTTGCAAACGTCAAACTGTTTCCGTCAGCTGCCACTTATGCTACGATGCAGGTGCTAAGGGAGAGAGAGAGTGGGGGACAAAATGTATTCCTTTAATGAGCCTTGTCCTAGGAGACCCTCCATTTAGTTGACTCTCTAAATCTTGGAGAGGTCTGCAAAAGCACCGCGTGAAGCGATAGCGAAGCCTAAGGGCCCTTGCTATTGCTGATGGTTTAGGGCAGGGGTGTCAAACTCAAATTCCAGGGGCCTGATCTGGCCTGCAGGGTGCTTAGATCTGATCCGCAGTGAAATTACAGTTAACAGATAATCGGAGTTGAAAGGGACCTTGTAGGTCATCAAGTCCAACCCCCCGCCCAAGCGGGAGACCCTACACCATTTCTGACAGATGGCAGTCCGATCTTTTCTTGGAAGTCTTAAGTGATGCTACTCCCATAACTTCCGAGGGCAACTTCTGTTCCATGGGTTGATTGTTCTGTCAGAAAGGTTCTCCTTATTTCCAGGTTGAATCTCTCCTTGATCAGTTTCCCATTCATTATTCCTCTTCTGGCCTTCAGGTGCTTTAAAAAATAGTTTGACCCCTTCCTCCTCTCTGGGGCAGCCCCTCAAATATTGGAAGGCTGCTCTCCTGTCTCCCCTGGTCCTTCTCTTCACCTGACTAGCCAGGCCCAGTTCCTGCAACCGTCCATCGTATGTTTTGGCTTCCAGTCCCCTCATCATCCTGGTTGCTCTTCTCTGCACTTTTTCTAGAGTCTCAACATCTTTTTTATAATGTGGTGTCCAAAAATTGAGTTTGACACCCCTGGTTTAAAGAGAGCTCAGTTGCTTTTGACTTGACCAAATGGGGTGGGGGGGAATGGGATGCCCCAGCTTCTCCTGCCCACGCTGTAACCACCTCCTGCTGTAATAAAAACGTGACTCGGGTACCATCAGTCTTGGAGAATGTCGACTGGCGATTTGTGTGAACAGGTGTTTCGGGGGAAATGTCGGGCTTGGATCTTGAAAGCAGCAGGTTACGGGTAGGCCTCAACTTAGGACAATTGAAAATTTCCATTGCTAAGCGACACATCTAAGTGAGCTTTTCCTCCTTTTAGGACTTTCCTGGCCACCACTGTTAAGTGAAACAAGGCAAGGGCTAAGTTAGTCACCCGGTTGTTAAGTGAATCTGGCTTCCCCATTGACTTTGCTTGGCGGAAGGTCGCAAAAGGGGATCACGTAACTCTGGGACGTCATAAATATGAATGTGTCTCGGTTTTGATCACAAAGATGCTGCAATGGTCCGAAGTGTGAAAAATGGCCGTGTCACTTTTTTTCAGTGCCGTTGTAACTTGGAACGGTCACTGTCATGCCCGTCGGAATCTTGATTCGGAGGGGGAGGCCGAGCAGCTGACAGGGAGCCAGAGTGTGGCTCCATTGGCTGTGGAAGAAACTGGGGAAGGGCAAAGGCTGGCTGGGCAGAGCAGGGAAGAGGTAGAACAAGGGAGAGGGAATTCAGAGGAAGATTCAGGCCCACCTCCCTCTTCATCCTAGGGCACGCAGTGGGGAAGGGAGAAGGGAGCAATGTGAGTTGCATGGCTTACAGGGGAGGAAAGGGCCCTGATTCCCTTCTTTAGCTTCAGCTGGGAACACCGTGTTTAAAAAGGGAAGCTGCGCACAGCAAGTTATTGGGAGGAAATCATGAGTTATCTGTTATTGTCGGGGCTCATCTGGGTTCCTGGCGTCTTCCCACTGTGTTTATTTTGCTGGCCTTTCAAGTCTGCAATTCCTTCTCCTGCCCTGTCAAGTTAATCACTGCAGGGTGGTTTGTGTGGATTTTTAGTTACAGTCTGTATGTACTTTATTTCCTGATTGAATTTCCTCCACTTAAAGGCTGTTCCTGGGAGTTTTTTTTCCTCCAGCCGAAGGTAACCTGCACACTGGGGGCAAAGCTGGAGATAATAAAGGGATTCTTCTTGCTTATTTGACTATGTTGCCTTTGTGCCACACTCCGGGGTCATCACAGTCACTAAATGAACTGTTGTAAGTCGAGGACTACCTGTATTCCCTGCAGAGCGTATCTAATAAAAGCTCAGATTTCTTTTTTTTTTGCAAAGAGGCAGCCAGGAAAACTATGCCAACACAAACACACACACACACACACACGTGCTGAGAAGAACATGTTGATACGTCGTGGGGCAGATGGTGCCCCTCCACAGGTATTCACACACACACACGGGCGCCATTAGCCCAAAAAATATATATATTTATTGATTTTCCAACTTGCCCCATATGTGCGATTAGATAGGCTGGCATCCACCCATTATTCCCTTTAACCCGCTAATAATTGTTATTTTCAGTTGTAACAGCTTTAGAGTAAGAATAACAGAACAGCGTGAATTCCACTGAAGGAAGAGCCGGGGAAAGAAAATTTTGCAGCAAATATCCACAAGGGAGACGTTCGAACTCAAGATTCCCTGCGTCTCGTTCCTTGCAATCCCCATATTTATTCATTTCTAAAACCAACCCGGGGCAAAGTTTTCCATCCTTCACCCCCCCACCCCCCCTTTGCTCAAAGTCATTTCCTTCCTGAAGAAAATCCACACTCCTTTGGCAACCGTTTCCTCGGAAAGATACCCCTTTAAGCAAGGGGTGGGCTTCAAAAAATTTTTAGCAACCGGTTCTCTGGCCGGCTGCTGGGTGAGCGTGGCCATGGTGGGCGTGGCCTAGTCGGCCTCCTGCGCCACAGCCGGGCGGGGAGGGGTTGTTTTCGCCTTCCCTGGACTCCGGAGGCCAGAAACGGGCCTGTTTCCAGCCTTCTGGGAGGCCGTTTTTTCACCCTTCCACGTGCCCCCTGCACTTATCTGGGATCCAAAATGGCCTCTTGGAGACCCCTTGGAAAGTCTGGGTAGGCAGGGCCAGCCGGTCGTTGCAACTACCAGTTCAGCGAACCAGATGTTAAAATTAACACCCGGGTCGGCTAAACCGGTACGAACCGGTAGCATCCAACTCCTGCCTTTTAAAGGGTTGTGATCAATTAGCTGGCGCCTCATTCGAGGCCGATCTCCGTGCTCCGGCCAAGAAATAAATTGATCGTGTCTCTTTCCACGGTGGAATATGGGAGGTAGGGGGCACCTCAACTTCAAGCCCCCTTCGGGAGCTCCCCCCACTATGGATTTTTCCTAAAAAAAGATATTCCCCTCCGGAAAGTGATCGGACAAATTGAACCCTTTCCACAGTGGGACGCTAAGGAGACACCAGATTTGCTAGCTGAATTGGGGGCTGTGAGTAAAATTGTGAACGTGTCAAAACCCAGAGACGCTCCCTAGTCTATTAAAGCAGCAAGTTTAAGGCAACGCCAGTCCATCACCGTTGAGCTGGGAGAGATTTCTGTGCTTTTAAGGGAAATACCGGCAGCTTTTCCCAGCTTTTTTGTGCAAACGATAAAAATAAAAATGACCCCAGTTGGATCACTTGAGGCTATTCAATCCTTGAATGCTAATTTCTAAAACTCCCATCAGCCTTCTGTAAAAACCCTACAGCTATTGTTGTTATGACCCTCTGACTATTGCTATAGTGACAAAGTAGTAGCTACTCCCCTTTGCTTTGAAAATGAGGGGGAAAGGAACTTTTCTTAAAGGCCCGTGAAGAGAAGAGTGGAGGAGCAATCGAAAATGGACAGCTGGGGTGAATCATAGAAGATGAATACGTTGCTCGAAAAACAGAATGCCAGGCGGGGCCCCAGTGCCAGACTATATCTCAGACCCCAAATAGTGCCAGCCCAATTCTATATTTTCCAAGAACCCAGGAGGAGAGGGAGTGTCCCTTGAGCCAGAAACCAAATTCAAAGAGAAGTCTTCGAAGATCAAAGCGGGCCGAAAGGAAAACCCACCTCCTCCCCAGTTCTACAGAAATGCACCTAGCGGTGCATTAAACCTCCTTTTAACTGTCCCCAGAAAGTGCGGCGCTCGCTCATCCTGACTTGTCTCTTGCCACAGGCTGACTAAACCCACCCCTCTCTCTTCTTCGGAGCTGGTCTTTAAAAGAAAAAAGAAAAATGGAAGTGGAACGATAAAGCCAAGTGGCCCACTTTGGGAAGAAAATCTCGGCGGGATGCAGAGATGACTTCGACCGGAAACAGAGGATGGATGGAATACCGGATAAGCATCCCCCGCAACGAAAGAGAGAGAGATTTTGGGGTGGGGTGGGGGGGCGTGACCGGGGATGGATGATGGAGATGCCAACAGGCCCGACTGGCACCCTGGCATGATGGGGGGGGGCACCAGCCCTCGGGGTTGGGGGAAGGGTGTCCCCCGCTAGGCCGGGATTCACTTCTCGAAGTGATCCAGAGGGTAATGTTCTCCGTATTGGTTCAGGTGACGCTCCAGCGAAGTCTGCTGCTTGGCGATGTGCCAGGGCATCTCGCTGTAGACATCCGAGAAGAGGAGTTGCGGTTTGGGCTTCAGCTTCCGCTCGGCCTCCTCGAGGGCCTCCATCACCTGGAGAAAGAAGGAAGGGGTGGCGGGGGACGGGAGGGGAAATGCAACCGTGAAGCAGAATAACAAGAGTTGGAAGAAGGGACCTTGGGGATGTTCTAGTTCCAACTCTCTGGCTCGGGCACGTTGCCAGGGCTTCGATCCTGACCGGCTCAAGGTTGACTCAGCCTTCCGTCCTTCCTTCCGAGGTCGGTAGAATGAGGACCCAGATGGTTGGGGGCAAGAGGCTGGCTCTTCAAAGCTCTGTAAAGCACTGTGAAGTGGTATATCAGTCTAAGTGCTGTTGCTATCCTTCCTTCCTTCCTTCCTTCTTTCCTTGATGGGTCAAATAAGGACCCAGATGGTTGGGGGCAAGAGG